TGGGGACACAGGAATCGGAAGTGGCTAATCATATGAAATAGCCCGGTTATATATGTACACACATATATATATATATGTATGCATGTATACGTGTGTGTATGTATATATATATATATATCCGTATATGTATGTATGTATACGTGTGTATATATATGTATATGTATATGCATATGTATATGTATATGTAAATTATATTATATGTATATGCAAAAATTATATGATATTATATTATATTATATTATATTATATATTATATTATATTATATCATATCATATTATATTTTAATATTAGATTATAATATTATAATATAATATTATATTATAATATTATAATATATTATTATATTATAATATTATAATATATTATTATATTATAATATTATAATATATTATTATATTATAATATTATATGATTTTATATTTTATATATATATACATATTTATGTGTGTTTTTGCATATATATATATATATATATCTGATTGCATATATATATATATATATCTGTATATATATATATATGCATTATAAAACATAGTTTTCCCTGGGTTCCACATCCGTTCCTTCCAAGGCACTTTAGTAGCTTTGCCAAAGACGGCCTTTGAGCTTGACTGCGGCTGGACGGGGCCGCGCCCGTAGCGGCCATGGCGGTGGGGAATTCTTTTCAAGTGGCCACTGATTAATAGTTTATATCAATTATAGTGGCCACTTGATATGGTATTAATAGTTGAAATTAATATTATTTGATTGGTATTAATAGTTGATATTAATATTTGATTGGCCATTCCCAATTATAGTTAGTTGATATTAAACAATATTAATATGCCCATACTTTGTTGGTTGCTCTTCATAATTTCTTCCATAACCACTGAGTGACGCGTTGCTTCTTAGGCACTTCGAGGATTTTACAAAGAGACCTGAGAAAATGCTGCCATCCAGCTGCTTAACTTCTCACAGCTGTGCATGGCCAAAGCTTGAGATCTGGAACTTGAAACCTCAGGAAATCAAGCAACAATCAGTAAGGTCCAAAAAAAGGTGTGATTTTCTCTTTAAGTTGATTGATATACTCTCTGAATGGATCTGAGTGTAATACATCAACAACTCAATAGATGTCAACATCTTGTAACTTTCTCCTCCAAGGCCCCTCGTTGATGTTTCAAGGGCCGTGCTGCAGGCCGGCGATGGCAGGTGGGTGGCATAGCTGGCATAGCTGGCACCATGTACCAATGGGCTACCCCCCAAAATAGCATCAATTATGTAGCCATTGTTAGCCATTGGTCAATGTTTATCTACTTATGTAGCCATTGTTAGCCATATTATGGATCAATTTATAGCATCTACTTGTCGATTTCCCTCCATCTTTTTAAAGGCAACCATTTTCTGCCATGGTCAAGACATGGTATGTCTGGGGCTATGTCATCCATCCCATAGGACAAAATTAGTATATAAATCCCCACGAATGGATGACTATCCCCCATGGGTACATCATCCATCTTTTCACCATGCCACATATGAAAAATAAACTGGTTGATGGTTGAGCCATCCCTCTGAAAAATCATGGACTGAAAGTCAGGATGATTACTCCCAACCGAATGGAATAAAAAATGTCCCAAACCACCAACCAGTACAATGGTCACTGCTACAGCTTAGACGACCCCATGGACCTGCAGATCGCAGCGACACGGCTTGTTTCTGGATGTAGCCACGAGGAAATGCATCTATGGCTAGGGTTCCGTGCGATCATGGCTGTTTTTGGCCATAAAACCATCCCCAAAATAGCAAATCAATTGGGTGATACCTTTACCATCCCCCTTTTTTGGTAGAGCAAGTCTATTATTGGCTTTACCACTCGACTCCGACATGCACTTGTGGCCCACTTTTGGTCCCAGCTGTTTTCCGATGGCGCGAAACTGGCGCTTGCCGACGCGAAACTGGCACTGATTTGACATGGAAAGGTCGGGCTGCAGTCGAAGAATCATGAAATGTCCACTCGAGAAACTGGTTCATTGGTTTGGTCAGCCAAATGATTTCACACTTCGTCAAGTTGGACAGTCCACTCTAACAATGCCGAAAAATTGGAAGATGAAATACTGTAAGCCATCCTGGGGATGATTTCACACCAAGCACTGCAGTCATGTCCTATCCATGTCTTGTGAGCCCCGGCCCTTTGACGTCCAGGATGATTTGTTGGGACAACCTGCAAAATTGATGGAGATTTGTACCATCCAGTAATCAAACATGGCACTAGTAAATCCCCATCGATTACTGGCCGTTCGAAAATTTGTCAAATCATCGAAGAATTCATGGGGACTTTCCAGCCATGGTTGCCAGAGGGTTTTTCGATCAGTGATGGGAAGATGGGGGTACCTCAAAAAGAGAATGAACATATGTCAAAATACTACTGCAACAGGAATGACTCCACTATCATTTTGGAGAGTATCCTCATAAAGGTACCCAACATTGGCGAGGTGAGCAACAACCATTTGTGATGATTGTGATGACAGCAATTTCAAAAGGTGGCTTAAACGTAAGGAATGTGACCAGTCAACAAAGGGGCGCAATCTGGCTGAAACTGAAAACAGGCAGATAGCCTGTGCCAAACTGAAAGCTGTTTCGTCATCCCGACTCGAATCTGATCTCTTGACTCACCATGAGCTTCACCAACTGTTTCGAATGTTCATTTTCAGTCATCATAGAAACAACATGTTTTTAATCAGATCCAACCTCATCAAAATCTATTCATCCAAATAATCCAAATATTTGAAACAAAAAATGTCTTTCCATTTCTGTCGTTTGCTTTCGTGGTTCCTGGGTTCCGTGCTCATCGTGCTCCAGGACGCAAAAGGCTGCGGAGCGGTCTAGTTGTTTTTGTTCGGGTCTGGTGCCCAGAAATCACAAGTCGTCCATCTTTCAGACAGTACTTGTGACCCCAAAAAACTCGGTAGGCACTGCCATGCACTGAATTGGTCTCTAACCCTATCTGTTTACTGAGAAAATGTTGAATGTGCTATAGCAGCTATATACTGTATATAGTCATCGTCATTTTTTTATGTGTGTGTTTATATACGCATATAACATGTAATCCACTTCCACCCAAAAACTAAATGCACCCCGTATCAAGCCCAAAACGAATCGATCCAGTACTAGATTCGACCTGCGAATCCCCAGGTCGATTTTGGCCAAAGGAAACCATCGCTTTTTGTCGAAGTGTGACAAATCAACCCAATGCTACATGTGACTGCTACCAGTCATGTTTACATAATATAATACAATCATATATATATATATTATAATATATATATATGAGATATATACATACATACATACATACATACATACATACATACATACATACATACATACATACATACATACATACATACATACATACATACATACATACTTACATTACATTACATTACATTACATTACATTACATTACATTACATTACATTACATTACATTACATTACATACATACATACATACATACATTACATACATACATACATACATACATACATACATACATACATACATACATACATACATACATACATTACATACATACATACATACATACGGTATTATATATATACTAGTGTATATAATATGTATATGAGATCACCAAAATTCAGAGTTTCTAACAGCAGTCAAGTATGTCTTCACCTTCACCTTCTTCAGTGGGTGAAACTGAACCACTTGAAAGTAGCATCCCAAGGACAACGTGTATATATATCTCTCATGTTCATTGCCAATCCGATCCATCATGATGACAGCATGATAAACAGATGAAGTGAAGGGTCTGAGACCAGAATCACGACAAACTGCGCGCTTCTGGGCTGTTATCCCTTACGGGAACGATGCCACTGTCGGCACCCACTTGTTGCCGCCGATGGCTCAAGAGTCAAGTCATGGGTAAAATCGGGTAAAAGGTCCATCATCTGGAAACTGCGACTAAGGATGACAGTTGAGAGCAATCCTCGCAGAGGTACTTGGAGGATCATCCCCCGACTCGTAAATGCCACTAGTAATTGGGGTTTGTTCATGTTCAGTTGTAGGATCACCACCAAAGCGGGGACTTGCTAAGCTGGGTTATTAACCACTTACTAAGTGGGATCATCCTCTAAGTAGCTGCAAATAATTTCAGGGCATAAGCTACCTGGCCGTCCTTCATCTTCGGGAGGGTGGTTTTTGTGGTTTATGATGTTTATGACCAAATGGGGTATCCAATTACCTACACATTGCAGAATCCTATGGTCCTATGGTACAGTTTTCTGCTAGTGTGGTGGTTCATTACCGCAAACAGCAAGAATTGCTGTGCTTTAAGATGTTTTCAGCAACCCATCTCTAGATGCGGAATTCTGGCCTCCAGGGGCCTCTGGAACAGCTGGCACAACGGATGCACGGCAGCAGCATGTAGCATTCTGAGATTCATTGATGGAGAGTGCGAGAGTGTCCAGTGCACCCAGTGCACCCAGGTATATCCGCCCGTTTTTCGCATGCAGAGGAGGGCATGGGGAAACCAAGCTGGTAACGGGGGGGTGAAAACCCACACCGGCTTTGCCTGAAAATTGGTTACCCAAAATGCGGTTAATGATCATGTTCCCTGTAAAAATGACCAGGTATGGGGGGGTATTGGTTCATCCATTTCTGTGACAAGTTCAATTGGGCAAATCGGTGTGCTATTCCCAAGTACCCCAAGATTTGATGGTCATATTTCTTCCCATGAAGATGGCAATAAATTCGGAGACAATCCCCATGTTCAGGTACCAAACCCAAACTCATATATCGTTGATTGTATATCACATGAGATTCTCAGTATGGTTGGCAATAAATCCCCAGATTTTGTTGGTCAATTCCATTAAATTCCCATTTTTAGATGCTCAAACCAACATGTTTTTCCCGTGAATTCCCATTAAATCCCATTAAACCAGTAACCAGCATTTTTCCAACGGAATCCCAAGGATTTTCATGGTGAACCCATGATTTTTCCAAGACATCTCCAGAACATTGGGCGGATCTCCTAGGTACAGGCCACGGCGGCCAGGACTCGCAAGCTACGACTGGATGACATGTCAGTCCTCGGGCGCAGTCACGGCCTTCTCTTATGTATTCTGGTTGGTGGTTTCAATGGTGATTTAATGGTTTAACACTGGGTTAACATTGGTGAATAATGGGATGATCATGGGATAACATAAGTCCAATAACCTATAGTTTCTGGTTGGTGGTATACCTACCCCTCTGAAAAATATGCGAAAGTCAGTTGGGATGATTATTCCCAATATATGGAAAAATAAAAATGTTCCAAACCACCAACTAGTATTTAGTTGTACAAAGGCAATTACTAACATTGGACAATCATTAGACATTATAATCAATAGGCAGATATTAGATTTTACTATTTACTTCTGGTTATTAGACAATCAACAGTAACATCAGATTTGGATATTAATAGTAGTGTTGTAGTAGTTATTTAGGAACATTATGCATTCACGATCTATAATCATAATATTACTGAATGTTACAATTGTAGATTAATATATACTAGTTCATAACCTATGTAATACTAGATGATTCTATAGATGATTAGAAACTAGTTCGTAACCTACGTAATACTAGTTAATTACAGATGATTATGCAATACTAGTAGTTCTATCATCACGTATAATCCCGCAATAGCTATCAATCCATAATCCAACTATTCACACAAGGCGAACCGTTTACGATAACTAAGTTGACGCACATAACTTGGTTGGCATTTGGCGTTTGGGTTTATGGGTTATATAGTTATGGTATTGATGAGGTTTACAAACTTCTAACTGGGGCCCACCTACAACTCTTAAAAGTAAAGATTTAAGTGAATGACCTCAAAATTAGTTTCGGGGGATTCGCATAGAATCCAACATGATATGGAAGTGTCAAAAAATCCAGGGCGTACCACATCGGCCAAGGAGCAAGAGATAGAAACGTAACTGGTTAATCCATTTAATCTTGAATATCCCAGTAGAACCCCTGGTTTGCGAATTGGATCATATTGGGTCATCTATTGGCCCTATCAAATCCCATCAGACCATTTTTCCCCATGGAATCCCCAGGATTTTTCATGGTGAACCCACCATTTTTCCATGGAAATCCCATCCGGTGAAATTCCCCCCTCGACCGTCCGGTAAAGGTCCCGTCCTCCTTGAGCCAAGGATGTGCCAAAGCATCGTAGGGGCTGATGCGCGCCATGGGATCCTTTGGACGACAGGGCATATAATATATATATATATATGTATATGTATATGTATATGTATACGTATATATCTATACATGTATCTATACATATATATATACATGTATTTATATTTATATATCTGTATCTATATACATATATATAATATAATTTAATTTAATTTAATACAAAAAAATACTAAAAATATATAATAAAATATCATATAATACACTACAATATAATATGATATGATATAATAGAATAGAATAGAGTAGAATTGAATAGAATAGAGTAGGGTAGAATAGAATAGAATAGACTAGGCTAGGCTAGAATAGAATAGAATTAGAATTAGAAAAGAATAGAATAGAATTAGAATAGAATAGAATTAAAAAAACATAATATATTACAATATAACAAAACAAAACAAAACCTAACATAATCAAACATAATATAAAATGATATAATATAATATAACATAATATAATATAATATAATATGCTATATATATGATGATGATGGTGATGATGATGATGGTGATGATGATGATGGTGATGATGATGATGGTGATGATGATGATGATGAATATTAGCATCGCTATTACTATGTTATCATTGTTATTTATTAGAGAGCGTTGGTATTTATTAGTACTTATAGGCTATATCGGTATTTATTGCTATTATTTATGAGCATTTATTAGCATTTATTAGTATTTATTAGTACTTATTAGTATTTAATACTTTTATTTATCAGTATTATTAATTATTAGTATTAATATGAATTATTAGCTTGATTTTTACTATCACCATTATTATTGGGTAGTTAAAGTTATTATCATTATTAATATTTATTCGCATGTTTAATTTATTAATCTTTATTATCATATATTGTAATTTAGTATTCAATATATATGTGTGTCATTATTTTTCGTAGCATTTATTGCTATGACTTTACTACTACGATTACAACCACCATTACACTACATACACTACACTACATTACACTACACTCCACTCCACTCCGCGACACTACACTACAACTACAACTGCAACTACAACTACACCTACACCTACAACTACACTACATTACACTAGACGACACTACACTCAATTACACTACACTACACTACCTACAACTACAATTACAACTACACGACATTACCCTACACTACACCACACTACACCACACTACACCCCACCACACTACACTTCACTTCACTACACTACATTACACTTCACTACACTACAACTACAACTACACTACATTACACTACACTAATTACATTACACTACGCTACGCTAACTACATTACATTACACAACATAAGTCAAAAGGTCATCAACACCCACTGGGCCGGACAGCGATTCCTGTGCCCAGTCAGTGTACCGCACCGCCTTGTTCCACAGCTTTGGCAGTACCCATCTTGTTGTATATCCATGTTGGTCAACCCACCAGTCCTGAAAGAACGGCATGAGAAAGGCACGGTAGCCAAAGACAAAACGCAGAACGCGCAAACAATCACAAAGGATGCAACTCAAAAGAACAAAGCACTTCCTGCAGGCTCCAAAGGTGCGCACATGAACGAAGAGCAGCAAGCACACACTGATCACCTACAGCTAAACGCATGCGCAAAGAACAAACACCACGAAAACAAATCCCACCTGGCTTGGCTCGCGCAATAGCAAACCAAAAAGCCACAGCGGCGCTGCGCCATCTAAGCGACGCATGCGCGGGTTGTGGGCGATATGTTCCCACACCTAGGTAGCTCGCGTGCCTTTTGGCTTGAGGCAGAAGCCAAGGCACGCGGCACTGCGAAAAACAGGACCTGCAGCAGCTACAAAAGAAACACACACACACTCCACTAGAAAAACCAAAAAAGATAAACAACCAAGTGCCAAGCAAGCAGCATCAAGACAAGAGTCTGAGACAAAGCCACCACCAAAGATGCGAAAAAACAAAAAAAAACACGCTCTCTTCGGAAGCCTAGAGGATAAAGAAGGCCAAGACAACGACCGCCAACATCGTAAGCAGCAACCTTTCCAGAAAAAGGGCAAAAAAAGAAACACAACGCGCAACAACCAAAATGGGCAAATTAAATCGCAAACCCAAGCAGCAAAAAAAACAAACAGGCCTGCAAAGAAGCCGACATCTTGAAGCCTTAGCCGGGAAAATTAAAACCACGTGAGTTTTCATTCAGCAGTTAGCAAGCAGAGAGCATGAAAACCGTTTGGCCGGAAGCTAAAAAGCCTTCAACTTCGATCGAAACAACTCCCGCACCCCGCGCAAACTACTATAGAAACTGAGCGCTCGACGGGACAACAAGCTAAGACAACAACACACTCAAAAAAGTGCAGCTTCGAAGCCCAAACGACACACCAATGTGCGTGGCGCATGAAAATGAATTGCAAACCACATCCATGCTCAAGAGCTCTCATCCGATCCGGCAAAAGACACAGACCCGTAGCGCTTAGTTCACCGGTCACCAAAAAAAACGCTGCTAGGCAGAACAGCGGGCAAAAGAAACGTCACAACTCGCAAAAACAGCTAAAACACCCAACCATGAATGCGTACCAGAAAAGATTAACAGAGGCCTCTGAAAGCAAGCATTTCACAACAAGACTGCTTTGCACTGTTTGTTTCAACGGCTTTCGGCACAGTGGCTTCTGCCTTCGTAAATGTACCAGGGTCCAAAACCCTCAAAAATTCACCACTATCCCGGCAAGAGACCCCAAACCGCGTGGGGCGAGTAAAAATGATCATGTATTATAATGCTCCGGGTGCTGCGCCATGCGCTTTGGCACCACACCCCGGCCTCTCTCCCAAGCACCACCTTCTCGCACGGAAGCCAGACCATCCCCAACTGTTTGCCTGGTGACAGGAACTCCCCCAGTTCGAAGCTTTCCCAGGGGTGCCGGAACTCGACTTCGGGGAACCCTTCCGTCACCAGCTCATAGGCGGAGTGCGAGGTGGAGCGGGAGGTGCTCGTGCATCCCAACTCCTGATTGTGTTCTCGCTTAGATATCCATGCGGTTTGGTCCAAGCGATGTTAATGTTGCTGATGATGTTGACGATGATGGTGAGGTTGATGGTGATAATGATGATGGTGATGATGATGATGATAATTAGGAGGAGGAGGAGGATGGTGATGACCATGATCATGATGATGATGATGTTGATGATGATGATGATGGGGAGGAGGAGGAGGAGGAGAGGAAGATGATGATGTGGATGTTGAGGAGGAGGAGGAGGAGGAGGCGGAGGAAGATGATGATGATGATGAAGATCTAGAAGATCGTGCGCAAGATCTCCTTGAGAGGTTCTCTGTAGAAGCTGCTGTGCAAGATCCCTGTGTAAGGCTATCTGTGCAAGGTGTCTATAGGAGATCTCCACCGAAGATCTTTGCAAGGGATCTCGAAGTAAGATCTTTGTTCAAGCTATCTCTAAATGATTTCCGAGCAAGACCTCTGCTCTCTTCACCGGGTCTCTGTACAAGATCTCCATAAGAGATCTCCTGGCAAGATCTCTGTACATGATCTCTATTAGAGCTCTCTCTGCACAGATCTCTTGAAACGATCTCTTGGCAAGACCTGTGGCCAAGATATCTATACGAGATCTCTCGGCAAGATCTCTTTACCAGATCTCTGTACAAGCTCTCTATAAAAGCCCTCTTGGCAAGATGTATGTAAGAGACCTTTTGGCAAGATTCTGCAACAGATCTCCATGCAATGTCCCTGTACACTGTACAAGGTCTCCAGAAGAGGTGTCCTGGCAAGATCTCTGTACAAGAGCTCTATAAAAGGTCTCTTGGCAAGATCTCTGCAAGGGGCGTCTTGGCAAGATCTCTGCAACAGATCTCTATGCAATGTGTCTGTACAAGATCTCCAAGAGCGGTTACAAGATCTCTATAAGAGGTCTCTTGGCAAGACTCTGAAAGATATCTCTCTATAAGAGATTTCCACAGGAGATCTCTGTGAGGGACCTCAAAGTAAGATCTCTGTTCAAGCTCTTAGAAAAGATCTCTGAGAAAGATCGCTGCTCCCTTCACCAGGTCACATGCATAAAAACAAACGTGAAACTATTTGAAACCATAAAGATCTACTCAGTCGCGCGTGCAATCAACAACATTCAACATATGCAGCTGGCACCAGCATCGGCATAGATGCAATGCACAGGATCCATTGCCCTTCCCTACAAAGCGGCATCGCGCGCTAATATTTGCATCACGCAAAAAAAAGTTGCCGCTTGGCGACCTTAAGGCCTTACGAATAAGACTTGAAACACTGCACGTCTTAAAACATTCGCCCCGCTTCTTTTACGGACATCACCCCCCTAGTCCTGAACTGCTTCGGCGCATAGAGCTTGAGTCCTTCACCGGTGCTCTCGAAGCCAAGGGAGGCAGCATCCGCCCAGCCGATATCGGATGCGCCGTCCGAGATGTTTTCCTTCTCGAAGAACAAGTCCTTCAACAGATTCCCGCGCAAGACGTATCAAGCACACGCACGTAGATATTTCTTTTATATAAACATATTTCCATATGTATACCTACACACACACATATATATATATATCCATACACATCTCCCACTGCCTCCACTAACTACTCTCTACTAAGGCTTCACTATCTAGCGAACTACTCCACTACCTCGCTCGGGAAATCCTCGAATACGCGAAGAAGGTAAATCCATCGGCCCTCTGTCAAAACCACCTCTAGGCCAGGAGGGCAGGCCTTAAAGGTGCTTGGAGAGAAAAGCAAGGGCATGCGCGCGTATGCACCTTGCATGTGCGGCGCAGCAGCCAGCACGGCACGAGCTGATGGCGAACCTGTTAGAAGCTTCTCCGAATAAAAAAACTTGGCCTGTCTCCCTCCCTCCAACGAAACGGCTCAGGAAGACGCTGACGCCCTAGGGCGACCTGAAGCAGGGTTGGCGCTACAACCAAAACACGCAAATGTTTCTTGAACAAACTTTAAAGCTTTGGTCTAGCAACCGCCCTTGGAAACAACAACTTAAAACTTTTAGACCCCGTTTGAAGTTCACCTGGCCTGGAGCAGCCAGAGTCCAAGGCTGTGAAACCAAAAACCAACGAGACTGCTGCGTTCTCCATTGCCACCAAAAAAATGGCACAGAGCGAAGGGGAGACAAAACAAACGAATTAACCAAAAGCTGCGGTGTGCTTCATGTGGTGACATGTCGTGAACCCGCTGGATTGGGCCAAACCCCGGAAGCTGGAAGTAACACAAAGGCCCCCGCACAACATTACAAAATGATTTGGACCCATTATTTTCGGAGGATACCCAAACGGTTTCAAGGGTAACAAGTCAAAGGGGGAGCCAAACTTCAACCATTTGAAACAGAAAGGACCCGAAGTGACTGAACCCCTTTGCCCTTTTCAAATGATTCTTACTTCTTGGTCATTGACTTTGTTGTTGGTGACCCCATATAGTTTCCGAACCCCTCGTGCCATTCTACATTAACAACAAACCTAAACCCTGGGGCGTATGCCCCTTCCCAACACCATCTCCAAGTTCTGGACCCTGTTATTCCCCCTCCTATGATCCCTGTGGTGGACTTCCTCCCTCTTACCAACCTTCTCCCATTCCTGTCCATCCACAGCTGCCTGTGCCACAGGACTTTACCTCCTCCAGGCAGCCTAAGCCACCAGTACCCCTCAGGACCAATGTCCTGCCACCAACCCACCTGGACTCCCCTCTCCCAATCCATCAATGGCATGCACTCTGCCATTGTGATATGTGGGAATCAACCTCACAGTCAAAAGCTTGATCCAGAAAAGCTGCAGCATCACAACATGATCAGGGGATCCTAAGGGGGGAGGGTTCGAACCCCTTTTGCCCCCCCCCCGGCCCCTGTCCTAAGAAAAAAGCCCCCTCTCCACCAAGGGGTCTAGGGCACTGACTTTCCTATTATTATGATTTTTATTATTATTATTAACATTATTATCATGATCATTATTATTATCATTATTATTATTATTTATTATTAGTAGTATTATTATTAGTACTATTATTATTACTACTATTATTACTACTATTATTACTACTATTATTATTATTACTATTTATTGTTATTGTCGTTGTCATTGTCATTGTTATTATGTATTCTGAATATAATATACAATCAATACATATATATATATTTATGTATACATGGATCTTAGGATGATTAGGTGCCGATCAAAGTTTAAGACCCTGCATCCATGGGCACGGCAGAGGCGTCAATTGGCAATCACTTGGGATTTCAAAACACCCGAGGCCGCGCCTGAAAAATAGATGGAAATCCTGCAAATGGTCAGTTTCATCAGGGAAAATGATGTTTTTCACCAGTGGATGGAAGGGGGTGCTCTATTTTTAGACCCAAATGGCCTATGAACAATTAACAAATAGATGCCCGTTCAGGTTTTGGGGTACCCTATACTTCCAGTACATAACTATGGCCTATGGCTCTAGAGCGACTTGGCAACTGCAAAAAAGCAGCCCCTCGCATCGCATTACGCAAATCTGGAAGCTTCACCAGAAATCGGTACGTTGAGTTGCTGGATGATGACTTTGTTGTGACTATGACATGTCGACATTTTAAAAAATAAAAACAGAATTGGGAACTTTGACATCGCCAGGGTTGGAACCCTAAATGGAAGAGATTGGACTTGGACATGCAAAAAAAACTCCCAAGTTTTGTGGTTTATGAATCGAGCTTCACGGCTTTGGTAGCTTTGGTACTGGGATTCGCAGCCATTCTATAGCCATCCAATAGGACTATGATTCGATTGACCCTGATGAACTCTGATGAACTCTCAGCAATTCGCAGGAATTCGGATGAACTATAGGATTTTGGAGACATTTCCCCCAAAAAAAAAACTCCACAAGTCAGCCATGGCCAGGCTTTCGTCATTCTGGGGCTCCCGGACCCAGGACATCATTTGCTCAAGCAAGTCGAGGCCCTGTCCACCTGGCGTAGATGGCCACAAAATCGATGGGGTGCACCCAGAAGTATGTATGTGTGTATGTTCTAGCTGTCTATATGTGTACATGTTACAGCTGTGTGTCCATAGAAGACGAGATTGTATGTATAGATATTATACACACATGTGGTATTCTATAGATATATATATATATACATGCATGTAGTAAACTAGAGTAACCCCCCATCCAAAAGATAGAACAGTAAAATAATCTTAACGCAGGGATAAATTGAACCGATTCTATGTTTTTTGGATGGTTTCAAAACATGTGTCTAGATGTATATATATATATATAATTGGAGGTTTCCTGAAATGGTGGTATCCCCAAATTGATGGATTATAATAAAAAAATACAATCTATAAATGGATGAGAACTGGGGGTACCGCTATTTCAGGAAACCCCCTAGAGAGAGAGAGAGAGACAAAGAGCGTATGTGTCTAGATATATATATATATATATTAAATATATAAATATATATTAAATAAATATATATATATATATTTATATTTAATATATATATATATGGTTATATATATAGTTTCATATATAGTTAAACATATATAGTTTTATATATAGTTATACATATATACTTATATATATACATATAGTCTGTGTATATATATACATAGTTACATATATATATAGTTATCTATAGTTATATATAGTTTTATATAGTTATACATAGTTATATATAGTTATATATAACTATATATAGTTATATATAGTTATATATACTTATATATAGGTATATATAGTTATATATAGTTATATATATTTAGCTATATATATAGTTTTATATGCACAGTTATATATATATAGTTATATATAGTTATATATGTACAGTTATATATATATGTATATATGTGTGTAGTTATATATATATATATATAGTTACATGTATATATAGTTATATATATAGTTATATATAGTTATATATATATAGTTATACATTTATATATATATAGTTATTTTTAATTTTATATATAGTTATATATTTGTGTATAGGGCTATGTATATATGTGTATGTATAGAGTTATGTATACATATATATATATAGTTATATATATATATAGTTATACTTGTAGTTATAGTTATGTATAATGGTATGTATAGTAACTTTGTAATATTTAATATAATATATATATGTATTATTATATTATATATATATATCATATATGTTATATATATTATATATATATTGTATATATATATATGAAGGTTTCCTGAAAATATAGATAAATAAATATATATATGGAGGTTTCTTAAAATAGGGGGTACCCCGTACCCCTAGTTATCATCCATTTATAGATAGGATTTTCTCCTATAAACCATCCATTTTGGTCCGTACCCCCCACTCTGCGTTCCGCACCATCCGCGTCCAGAGGAACACCGGCACCGTTACGCAGCACTGCAGCCAAGCCCTTATGGCACACAGCGTCCGCCTAGTGTTCGCGAAAAAATGCGGAGGTGTCCAGCAAAAATGAGGGTAAAACGATGGTAAAATGAAGGTAAAACCAACCAAAATCATGATAAACCATGGAAAAATCATGGTGAAATACCAAAACATCATTAAAATCATGATAAACCATGCAACATCTAGTTGAAAGCTTGGATTTTGGCCAACCAAAAATTGTGTTTTCCGCGTATTTAAGCTATCAAAATGGATATGCAACCAGCCAAAAATGGGGAGGAACTGTTTCACCCCATTGAAATTGGGCTAAAAATTGGGGCGAGTTTGTTAAAGCCAGGAGACACCTTGGAGCAGCCTTCCACATCTGCTTTGTCAATGGGGTACATCGGGATCCCCCATGGGTAGCCCTAAAATCCAATGGAGTGCCATAGTTTTCCCATCCTGCTTCCTCAACAGACATCTACGTTCCAACGGAAATCACCATGTATCTAAGTCATGATGATAAACCACCAACTATCAACCATTCACTAGTTGGGGTACCTATAAGTTTGCATACTTCAATAATGATAATAGCCATGGAAAATGGTCCATTTAAAGAGGTTTACCAATTAATAGCATAGTGATTGTCCATGGCTATGTTAGTCATAACCAGATGGTGGTTTTGCTAGTTCACTCCCTATCAAAAAATGCTAAATGCCGATTGTGAAATCCCCGGAAACTTCGCCTGCCGCAAGAGAATCTTCTCTGGATCTCGTCCGGGCACTGCGAACAGCCCCAGGCCTAGTCGCTGAGAAGTCGCTGAGTTCCCTGCTTTTTGCCAAAAAAATATGGAATTCGACTGGCAGACTTGGAGATCTTTCAGGTTAACCTGGCTGGGAAAACAGTCCAGATTTTTTAGGTTAACAAGTCTGTTCAGATGGAAAAAAAATTGGAGATTTTGGATGCGAAAAATCCAGCCGTGATCCCGGACCTGCCACAGGCGGAACCCGCTGGTCCGAGGCCACTCGACACCTTGGGCGAACAGGGCACCTAAAGCTGTGAAGCTGAAGAAATGGGTGTAGCTGGATGTTCATGGTCTCATTTACCCTCTGGTAAACTAACATAGCTATTGAAAATGGCCCATGTATAGTGGATTTACCCATTGAAAATGGTGATTTTCCATAGTTATGTTAGTTTACCAGAGGGTATAGCCTTTATCTAGGGAAAATAGATCCAATATGTGGAAAATAAATCCAAATAGATCCAAATAGCCATTGTTGAAGTATGTTGAGGTAGGAAAATGAGCTTCGAGTGCCTCCAAACCCTGAAACATTGGGTGGTTCCCCCCCCTCTAAGGCAGCCACGCCATGCCATGAGAATTCTGAACAAATGGCTAGATAAATCACCAGGCTATGGATTGATGACCATCTGCTAACCAGGCTATGGGGAAATACCCTCTGGTAAACATACAAAAAACTATGGAAAATCACCATGTTTTTAATGGGAAAACTCACTATAAATGGCCATGTTCAATAGCTATGTTAAATTACCAGAGGGTAATGGAAATGGCGAAAACACAATCTTTGACCCATCCTCAATATCCCTCATGTGCTCCAGGCAGCTGCCGTGCAAGGCACTTGTAGGAGAGCCAGAGTGGAGTCCCCAAAGACATCTCCAATAGAATTGACCCCAAGGACCACCTTTGGCCACACGTGGGCGTGGTGGATTTTTTGGATTAGTGAGAAAAAAGAATGCCTTGGCATCATCCGTGTCATCCATTTTTTGATCTTCGGAATTCAGTGCCTACATCATCCTACTTTCACTGGGAATGCAGTTGCTGATGGCATACTTTGAGGATTTTTCCAAGTTTGGGTTGTATCATGTTCTGTGGCCATCTGTGATCACCAAAAAAAAATCATGGCCACTAGTGGAAAAAAAAACATACCCTCAATTGCAATTTCACCTGGCAATCTCAAATATCCATTGATCTGGGTAGATTATCCATATTCATATTTCGCCTGAAAAATTGGGTGATTTTGGGAGAGTTGCCCCAATCCAATCAGCCATTTTTGGTAGATTGCCGGATTGCGGGTGGGGCACATTGGGCAAATCCCGATATTTCGGAAACCGTTTACAGTTTCATGGTGGAGTTTTCATGGCAAAAAAATGACGTCCAAGATGGACCCCCCGCGTCTTTCAAGAAAAAAAACTTCAAGTCGAAGTTTGTTTAATGTTCATGACAGGACTTAGTGAAGCATGTCCCTATTGTTTCCCTATGTTTTCCCTACCTAACCTACAGTTTTCGATGTACAAATCCCTTTCAGGACGTACAGGAGTCCTAATCTCATGGCCTCTTTAGGGGTTCGGACATCACCATCCTGCATCAGTTGGTAACTATTGGTCACAACAAGAAACATTGTAAATTTCATGGGGCGATCATAGTGGGATTTTTACCATCTACCATAACTGGTGGATTTCGCAACCCACAGCGAAAAATGTCATGTCCTCCGCCGGGCCCCGGGCATGTCAAAGGACCACGGTTGGGACCTCAGTACGGCTGGTCCCTTTTTTGGCAATTCTGTAGGCCCCAAAACCGGCTGGTGTGAAGTGAGGGAATTTAGCATGATAGAACATTTGGACATGATGAGGTCCGGTTCCCCCTGTGTGCTGATGAAAATATCCGATAATATCCTGCATTGTCAATTGATTCCAAGGAAATTGTCATGATTGACAAGCATTGGGAAATTGTGAGCGCTGTCAACATCTTGGTCTCAGACTGCACTCATAAAAGTGATGTGTCACTCCTTAATTACACCCAAGTAATTTAACCTGGCAAGACATTATAGATTATTGTCTCACATTTCACCATTAAGAGCTGGAATGTTCCATGCTCTCACCTGACAGGCGCTTGGGCTACAGATGGTGGGGGTTCCATCAATGGTACCCCCAATAGCTGGATTGTTTATATAGATTTACAATGGAAAAAAAATATTTAAAAAAAATGATGATTTAGGGGTACCCCATGACTTTTCGGAAACCTCCACATCTACACATCGCAAACAAAGCCAGCAACGAATACAAATGGGGGAAATCAATGGAACATGTTTGTGTACAGGAGGGCATGTTGGAACCTCATCCATGTCCTTTCTTTGCCCGCCCCACATGAGCCATGAAAAATATCCCTATCCTGTCCAAGTGTAATGGTTGGTTAATAGTTAGCACTACTATGGGTACATTCATAATCCCCAATAAGCCAGGTAGTATAACCTCAAAAAATATAGCCAATCAACAGGGGTAGTGTAAACATCCCATTATATCCCACTACATCTCATGACTGGTTATAAATCCCAGTGTTTCTTATAGATCCCAAATGAATCCAAATGATTTGTTATAAATCCCATTGTTTCTTATCCCTTTACATCACAACTATTGGTTCTAAATCCCATTACATCCCACTATATCTTCTGGTTGGTGGTTGAGCCACCCCTCTGAAAAATATGCTCGTCAGTTGGGATGATGACATTCCCAACTGAATGGAAAGTCATAAAATTCCATGGTTCCAAACCACCAACCAGTGATTATTAACCATCATTAACCATTATTAACCATCATTAACCATCATTAACCATCATTGTCCCATACTAAACCTACCAGTCTTCATGGCTCACATACGATTTTTTTTTGTGCCCGGAAACGCCTCCAAGCGACTTTTGACTCAGCGAGTCCACGTCCCAGCGTGGACCCGGCGGCGACTTGGGAGCAGAGCTGCCAACAGGCCCTGTACCTGGGATATTTTTTGGGGGATTTCACCGGAAAAAAAATGGTGATCTCCATGGGATATGATGCTTATGCAATGGTGAAAATAGTGGTTTTTACAATGGTGAACAATGATTAATACTGGTTATCATGGTTAGTAATGAGTGATTTCATGGTGGGGATGGTGTGATTTGCTCTGATTCCCATTCAATGGTGGCTACCCTTTTGACACCTTTCCATCTCCGATGCAGCTTGCACTCAGTCTGGGGTTTTGAGGAGTTGCTGGTGCCATTTTCAGGCTTCTGTCTGAGAATGTTGGAGTAATCCAATCCGCCATGCATGTTTTTGTCCACCCCCTTTCTATGGTCCCAATGATAAATTCCCTACAACCACCATGGTAATATGGTAAGGCCATGGACCAAGGTTTTTTGAGACCTCCACCAGGCCCAGGCCCGCCTGTTAACCGCGCTGCAATACTACTGCGGCCGCCTGCAAACGGTGGGCCCATCCTTAAAATGTTTAGTCATCTGGGAGCGGATCATTACATCTAGGAATAGAAATGAGATTAATATCCATTACTTGAAGAAAAAAACAACTATATTCTGCTGGTGAGTGAACGAAGTCAATCCATATCAGCCTCGCGCGATTCTCATCGTTCACAAGTTCTCCCAATTGTACTTCAATTCTCCCAAAGATCGAATCGAGTTTCCATCCTGCATGTGCACTCATGAGCTCCGGGAGTTTGGTTAAAAATGATTGACCCCTATTAGTTTCTTAGTGGCTAGCCCCTGGCGCTTCAGCACTGGGCCCTCGTTTGGTCATTGGAACATGTGGATTAAACCTCCCGGAACTTGTCTGTTTAATCCTCAATTTGGCCTTCTTTTTTTGCAAATGTCAATTTTTCTTGTTACTCCCCATCTTTTGCCACTTCGAAAAATGTTTATTGAACTCCCAATCTTGGTGCAGCCGCAGTTTGCCAAAGCCTAAGTTGTCCCTGGTTTTCGCTGCTGAAACTCCCCCTTTGGTGATCCCTCTACTCGTAGCACACTGGAAGAGCTGAGTTTCCCCGACGCGCCGGCCACGTCGACAAGTTCCCGGTGGTCGCCGCGCCTACACCAAGTTTCAGAGTAGCAACAATGGGTTGCCTTCAAGATTCAATGTTTTTGGATAGTTTTTTGGTTCAAAAAAACAAAAGTGTTGTTTTTCTTCCATGGCCAAAAATGGATAGCTTTTTGGTTTAAAAAAAACATTTTTTCCATGGCCAAAAATTGAATTTTGAAGAACTGGAAACACGGTGAGAATTTCCGGGATCCAAAAAATAGAAAAAAATCCCTGGATCGAACTGACAGGGTTCAATCATCAGATCCGCCAAAGATGGGGGTTTAACCATGGATATATTTGCCAGCTAGCAGTTAGAATATTCCAAAAAAATACGTCTGCAGTTAGAATATTCCAAAATGCAAAACAGTTCGAGTTAGAATATTCGGAAACATTAGCAGTTAGAATATTCCAAAATCACATGAATTCATTCGACGCCCACAAACACTTTTTTCCCCTTTGCTGCTGTGCTTCGATGTCCATGCACTGTACTGTCGAATGCCAATGTTGTATTTTCCTTTCTATATAAATTCTATTAAATTCTAATGTACCGTGCAAAAGTCAATGTATTGACCTAATGTACCTTGGATTCAGCAAGCCATCAAACAATGTCAGTTCGGGTTTAAATTTATATTTATATATGAATTTACATAGATCCTAAATATCTAATAACTCTTTGAACATACGAGATAGATACTGTGGGAATATTCTAACTGCTAGCAGGTTAATAATTCTAAATATTGCATTTGTTCTATGGCTTGCCCAGGATTGAGGACCATAGCTCTTCCAATCTCTTCCCATATGGATCCAAGTACCTTCTTAGGAAGTGTTTGGGGTATGATTTGGAGGGTTAAGTACCTTCTTGAACAATGTTTGGATCCATAGGGTTCAATTGTTTCTTTGCTAAACGGTCCGAATTGTTGGCTTCGCAATACTCTTTGGGCATCAGAACCAAAACACGGATGAGAGCTTGCTTGGGGCTTCGCCCAATTCCCTCACCCTATGTTCGACCAATGCGTTTTGATCCGGAACAGGAAGTGCGCCATACTGTGTTGGCTTCATGAACACTGCAACCTTCCGGCCTGTTGGTAACTATTTAGCATCTAATATCTATTTAGCAACTATTTAGCAGCTATTTAGCATGTATTCAGCAACTATTTAAGAACTATTTACCATCAGTTTTGTTTAAAGTATTGTTTCCAAGAACGCTTCAAGAAGTAATGTTTTATTAATATTTTTTATTATGGAATATTCTAAGTGCAATATCGAATATTCTAAGTGCACTGCAGATAGAATATTATCAAAAATCCAGCCGGGCCTTTAAAAAGAGCCGCTGAACTCTCAAGGATGAATACGTCAATATTCTAAGTGCTAGCTGGCAATTATAAAATAGCCTGAAATTTCTCAGAAAATCAAAGTCTGGGAACGAAAAATTTGGAGTTTTTTGGTCCTCGAGATGTCCTCAGATGTCCATGCCATGCGCAGCTGAGACTTTTCCCATCGCCTCCATTTCTTCCGGAGCACACCTCCAAGCCCTGGCACTGTTTGCGCTGAAGGTGCCAGCAGCCGGGATGTCATGGGAGTCGGGATAGCATGTCCTAAAAATGTACCATTTATAGTTGATTTACCTATTAAAAATGGTGATTTTCCATAGCTATCTTAAATTACCATAGGTCCTGGTATGTCCCAGTTACTATGTGTTACTATCACTTCGTAGCTAATCCAAGTGGAGAAATAGTCATGGGGACAATTCACCAAAGAGGCATGGAGGGTAGAGCCATCAAATTGATATTCATCAACAGAGACAAATCACTTCGTATGCCCTGTGATTTGATGGGATAGATTGGTGTTGAAAGATTTCGACCAGTCATGCTGCGTTGGATCTTCCAGGGAGAGCACGTTGATCACCACATCCCCCAATCAACACTCCCCCTTTTTGGTCCCAAAGATGTGAATCCCATGGTTTCTGGGTGTTTAATATTAGGTGGAAGGGATTACCTGTTACGCAAAGTGGGTGTCTCTCGCAGCCAAGGTAAGTATATGTGCCATGGTCAGTACATGGTGTATATGGTATGGCCATCCATACCATACCACGGGAATCCTTTTATATAACGGCACATGAATCCCGATACCATCATTCTCATGACCATCTTCCAAAAACTTCGCAAGTTACCCTTGTTTTGACCATGGTACATATAGTCATATAGACTATATACCTTCTGTACCATGAACTGATCTACCCCCTCATGTCGGGCATGGCCAAAATGGCGCAACCATTGGACTATACTGGTGCTAAACGCAGGAATGGGGGAATGGGATGATTGTTAATGAATAGTGATTGGATCATTCCCATTAATAGTGATTGTTAAATATTGTTAATAGTTATTATGGGATCATTTTGGTCATGATCCAATCCATAAGTATCTATACATATATATATATATATATGTATATATGTATATATGTATATGCATATATATATATATATATATTCACAATCCAATCCATTCCCCCATCTAGCTTTGGCACCAGGACTACTAACCCAACTATATATTCACAACTTTTCTATAGTCTCACAATCATCCCAGATTTTTCCCCAACTTAGCACCACGTCATGGTGACCACCGTCACCGTCGAACGCCGGAAGCCGCCTCGTGTGGCATGTACTCGGGCGTGGCGACGCTCAAGGCCTCCGGGGATTCGAAGCTGAAGGCGCTGCCCAGGTCGATGAAGCGAACCTAAGAAGGGGATCATGGGAGAATGGGATGTTGGGGATATATGACACTCTGATGATTAATGGGATTTAATGGGATTAACCAGGGTTTAAGGTGACTTAATGGGATTTAATGGGATTTAATGGGATTTAATGGGATTTAATGGGATTTAATGGGATTTAATGGGATATAACATCTGGTTATGACTCACATAGCCATGGTATAGATGGCCCATTGAAATAGATGGTTTTCCCACTAATAGCATGGTGATTTTCCAGTTCGTTATGTGGCTGTTTACCAGAGGGTAAATGGTGATTTTATCGTAAATATTCAGCCATGGTGATATGATTTATAGGTAACCCTAGGATAAACTGGAAAATGTGGAAAAGTCATGGTTCCGGAAGATCATCTGGAAATGATGGGTTTTCCACATCTATATGTTAGCTTATGGGAGAGTATTCAATATGGAGAATGGGTCGCAAAATTGCTTTATAGTAAATGCACAAATATTCCGTCATGGTTATATTATTGTATTGACTGGAAATAGTATAACTAAGCCTAATTGTTCATAATTGGTTAGTGCAGCTTTAACATGCACCAGGGTCGACATGACTCCAAGGGTTGGCTATTGGATGGGGATTTCACGGGGATTCTTGGGCAAGAAAGTCCTGGAGCTATATATATATATATATAGCAACCCAAAAAAGAGGTGGTATAATGAGGATGTAATTGTGGTTGGCTAATGGATATAAAAGTATGTATATATATATAATGTGTATATATATATAATGTATATATATAATGTATATATATAATGTATATATATAATGTATATATATATAATGTATATATATATATTATTATATATATATATTATATATATATACATATTATATTATATATATATATATCATATATCATATATCATGCATTTTATATGGTGGCACAAAGCTTAAAGATGTCTTGCTTTGGCCAAAAAAAAAGTATAGGTTTAATATGAGATAATGCGCCATGGTCAGACAGTTATGCGGGATGAATCTCAGAGGTTCTTTGAAGGTAACAGCCATATTTCACCCGATTTCAAGGGTCTACTTTGGTTTCTGGGAGACAACTGGTCGACTGGTCACCACTTCATAGTGGTGCCATGTCCCCATCTAGCCGCTAGGTCTCCCAACCCGAACACCGCAACTGTCATCCTGATCTACAAGGATGTTATCCTGCCAGTCGCGCCCATCGGCAGACCCAAGGGGAAAGTGTCGTGGAGTCGTGGAGCGTTCAATGGTAATTTCGTAAATACTGGAGGGTACTTCAAGGTGGTGCCCCAGTTTGTTAGCTAAGTTGGTGCAAACCACTCCAATAACGTGGGTTTATGGCAGGTATACCTATACTTAATGAATGTTATAAAATATATATATATATATTTATAACTGGGGGGGCACCACCTTGTTCTTGTTACTTCGGTAAAACGAATGGTTCCCAGTTTGGGAAGTCGAAAAAAAGTCAGCTCCAGATCGAAAGTGGCTACCCTAAAGGGAACGCAAGGCCCCACCTAGGATAAATCCCATATGATCCCGATGTTTCTGGGTGACATCACCATGTTTCATGTCAAGAATGGTCAACAAATGACCGTCTCTGAGAAGTGATTCTCATGGTTCTTGGTCGTATCA